TGTTTGATTTGAATGAAATAAACCTTACTGTTTAGGTAATTTCTTAAGCATTTGTTTAGAATTGCACCTACTTAAATATATGACCTTGAAATTTGCTTAACTCTGTTCTTAAGCACAAAAATTGAAATAGCAAAAAACACGTCACCTTCGATTTGGCTATTTTTCATATATTTTATTGCCTACCATATTCTTAACAACCTGTGAAAAAATTAGAGTGGGCCATTCATAAGTTTTGAAGAAAATGGCACATATGCAAACGTATGTTAGCACGCCCAGTGGAGGGGGAAGAGTGAATTTCGCCCCACCCAGGCGCGGATACAAGGGGGGGGCCATGGGGGCCATGGCCCCCCCCTTGGCCGATTTTTTTCAAAAATAAAATAAAAAGTTAAAAAGCTGAAAAGGGGGCCTCCTGAAAATAAAGTGGCTATTCATGTTGAGATGTTGCCTGAACAGCTAGATAAGCTCAATAGACGCAGTTTTTTTTGGGGGGGGGCCCAACAAGTGGGAAGATGGGGCCTCCAACAGGTGGGATTATGGGGGCCTCCTGGTTTCTAATGGCCCCTCCCTTGGAGATTTTCTGGATCCGCCCCTGGCCCCACCCCTCCTGTTTTTCGCCAATATCTCATAGTATTAATGCGAAATTAATTATAGCTACCTGCCCAAAATTGAATTGCACATCTCATCGTGCAAGCAAGAAGGAAATCGGTTCACAACTGGTCTAGTAATAGCGGTGTAAAGTGAACATCCTGTCGCCGCGGCGACGCGGCGACTCGGCAGCCGGCGCCGACCACTAGCCGCCGCCTGAAATGTAGACTGTGCCGGGACGGAACGGAACGGTTCCGTCTTTACATCGCGCTCCTTACCGCTGATTACGTTCGATTCGCGTCAAATTTTGTGAGAAGACTAAGAAATGTACAGGCAATCTTATGGTGTAAGAATTTTGAAAATCGGTTGGTAAACAATTGAAATATGAACGTGTAAACACAAAATTGTGATTGCTGCGTTTCCCGCGTCGGCCGATCACGCCTCAGCCGGCGACATGTTACTCTTAGCAGGTCTCTAACTGCCATATTTATTATTGGATTAACTAGAAATTCCCCATACATACTCAAAAATGTATATTTTTTCGTATAGTGAAGATAAAAAGACGTGACGATATCGTTGCGTGATAATGTTTTCGTTGAATTTTTGGCTTCATGATGCATTTCCACACGGCTCAAAATTCGCCGCAAAATACCGTTTGCCTTAACACTTTTACTATGGAACTTGAATGCTTGACTACGATGACTATGTATTTCCATTCTCGCAGAGTTTGGGATATCACTAATCAGCAATGATTCATTTCAGAAAGTGTACACAAGCAAGCATGTCTTGACTCTGTCTTTCAAGGTCACGCGCGGTTGCGTGATGTTGATGCATGAAAACGGCGTTTGCCGCGAGAGTTATGAATGGCCCACCCCAATTTTTTCACAGATGGTTAGGAACATTGTGACGGACATAATATGTAAAAATTACCCGAATCGAAGGTGACGTGTTTTTTGCTATTTAAATTTTTCTGTTTTAATTCAAGGTCAAATGCATTTCAAGGTCACTTCAATTTAATTTTATAATTAAAAATCAAAGCCTTATCAATTGCCTACAAGACCCTGTTAATATCATTTTGATACCAAAAAAGGAACCAGAGTTATAGACATTTAAAAAATTGATGTGTGGCATTTTTGGCTATATTCGATGACCTATATCTCAGCGATACTTTATCAAATTTCGAAAATATTATACGTAACTCAGTTTTGAACCATGCCCAGTCTGCCTACAAATTTTCAGAAAAATCGAAGGGGATGAAGGATTTCGGTGTTTGATTTGACGTGGAATGCCCCACCTGAAGTCAGGTCGGTCACGCGAGTCACGCAACCTCTCGGTCACGCAACGCAAAATATGAAAACTGTTATTTTGGCGCCGGGAACCATCTAAAGCTGTCTCAAGCGCAGGAGTTCGCGATTTTATACAATATTTGCAAGCCCCAGCATTCACTTTTCCATTCTTAAAGTTAGGCGACTTCATTGATGACGTCACTAAGGTCATAGGAGATTTCACCAAAAAGTCCCGATCAAATTGAGCTAGCGAGTCGGGAAGCCACCAGTGGACTTGTAAGGACTAGTGGTGTCAGTTCAAGAAAATCAATGTCCAATGTCCGTCCGATGTCCAAAGCTTACGTCGACTGTAGTCCAAAAATGTCCAAGCCAACCATGTGTCCAAAGATGTCAGTGGCGCGGGAACCAGGGGGGCTAGCGGGGGCTGAGCCCCTCCAACTTTTCGGCTGGGGGGGCTCGTAATGTATTTGAGCCCCCCCCCCCCCCCCCCAGCTGGAGGAATCGAAATCGGAAATCTACCAACATAAGTAACTTATCCACGACAGTTAGGATAAATGATAACAATAACAAGTCAAATGTATATTTAGACACACAAAGCTTTCGGTACGAAAATACCTTGATCACTGTGTTACAGAAAAATCTTAGAAGCGGCTCACATATCTGCACGTAATACCATCAATACTAGAACTGGATTTATAACTTTAGCAACATGCGCTGTGAACTTAGTGACAGGACCCCGATAGCTAATCTCGTGACTGTGATATATTTTTCGAGTGATATTTTATATTTGTGTACAAGCTGCCGGTGATCATTTCTGTCCTCATTTCTGTAACACAGTGATCAAGGTATTTTCGTACCGAAAGCTTTGTGTGTCTAAATATACATTTGACTTGTTATTGTTATCATTTATCCTACCAACATAATTTCATATATTCATACATAGGCGCGGGAACCGGGGAAGGGGGCAGTGGGGGAAGCTTGCCCCCACAACTCTGCGGCCGTGGGGGCGGTGCCCCACAACTTTTCATGAGGCTAGGAACCGTTGGGCAGCTTGTCCTCCCCAAATTAGGGGTTGTGGGTCACAAAGGGAAGAAAGTATGTAAGTGAAAAATCCACCTCTTTCACTGGCTCGGCAACTCATTTGGCAGATTAAAACCTTTATTCCAGGTTGCCAAAACGGTAGTTTCTTCACTCAGCTGAGACGGAATACCTCACTTTTTTGCAAATGTTTTCTTTTTTTTTCGTTGGAAAGGCCAAGGTCTGAAAAACAAGTGGCCTAAAACCGGTGAGAAAACTAGATTTGGGGGTACCCTAGGTTGATCTCTATTATGGTTCAGCCCCCCCAGTCTGGAAGAAGTTCCCGCGCCACTGAAAGATGTCCAAAATCTACGCAATGGTTTACAGTCAACATTGTTATTTAATTTGCCTTTAATGCACTTCTACGAGCTCAAAAGTGTTAATCATATCGAAAGCTGAGCTTTCTATTCGCCAATCAATGTTGAACACGATTACTTTATAAAAATACTGAGCTGAGGCAAGTGACGTCCAAAGTTGTCCAAAGCTTGCTGTCATTTGTCCAACCAAATTCCGAATTGGACATTGGACAAAATCGGAATTCCGAAGATTCAAGTTCCGATTGACACCACTAGTAAGGACCTACCGAATCGAAGAAGCGATATGACCTCCTTGAGCCAGGCTCGTGGCCTGAGTGGCTCTGCCCTGACATGACCTGAGGTAAACACCTTAAATTGACCTCAACAAAAACAAAGCGTATAGACGCGCTTGAGCATGCAAAACTCGATGGTGCCATTATCTTGGCTCTGTAACCACTTATGATGAAGTTGTTTACCAAAAACCGATCCCGCGACTTGGAGCACTTATACTGACCTCAGAGTTTATCGGTGGACTTGAGATATTCAACTCGGGTACCAGTTGCTGTATCTCATACGACGCACGCGCTCAGTTTTATCCGCAAGGCGCTAGCTCAATTAGGGGCAAAAAGACGGAGAGGGGTCGTAATCGCCCCCTTCCCCCCTCGGCCGGGGTATATGCAGAAAACCCAAAATTCCGTTGAGGGCTAAGCACTGAAGTGATATATTATGATGCAAGAAGGTATAGGTCAAAACAAGTATGCACACGAGCGAATGTGAATAAAACTGTGTTTGAGGTATGCTTTTTTATTATACATTCGATTTGCTTTAGTTATTGGTAAGAACAGATACAACCAAGAAGAGCGCCCCTGAAGAAAAAATGGCGCACCGGACGGGTGCGATTTTAAGGTCTAAGGTCAGTCGGGGACCTCTAAGTTCGGATCAAGCGCTGCATGTTAGGGTTAAAAAAATGGGGGCAAAAAAGCGTCCCGATTTTGGCAGCATCGTCATGCTTTGTCACGACACTCATCCACTCCCTCGGCCGAGATATTAGCTCCTTTTTGTATGAGTTCTGGCATAATCCCGCACATTATGCTGCATGATGTTTGCCATGAAAAAAGCATGTTCAGCTACGTTCTACGCAGTACGCACTAACCTAACCACCATCCCATCATCCACCACTAGCCACCATCCCGTTCTGTGATCCCTTCCACCCCACACGAATCAGCCGAGATACTAGTCAGTCGGGCTAGCGCCATCCTCCCCTCGCTTCCTGACTGCACAGCGCTAAAACCCAGAGCCGAGACTTCCCGAGCGCGACCTCTGACCCCACGCGGTCCGAAGGGTCGGCCGATGCCTAAGGGCGCGCCGCGCGCCGGACACCCGGATAGCCTCTGCCGAGTCTCCCTTCCATACACCGTTTGCTACGCGCTCGATTCATTCATGATTTTGTGTTTCCGCGTCCCTCTCGCTAGGTGGCACCATGGATGTCATAGGCGATCCCAGGAAGATTGCGGCCAGAATACCCCAAACGGCAGTAGGTAAATGAGGTTTTTGGTGAATATCTCGGAAAGTATTTGGCATACAACGATGCAATTTCACAGTCTCGTGGTAAATGTGCATACACATAATTCGGGTTGATACTTATGCATTTGAACATTATATAGGACCAGATATTTCCGAAAAAGCAAAACCAACAAGACTTTTACTGTAGAACCGTACATACAACCGGACTCCGATTCAATGACGAGAAACGCTCTCACGGTGGCTGAACATCTGGGCACATAGGTACAAATAAAGCCAGACACTGAGGGCTCTTTTAAAAACACGCAAAACAACACGCACGCCGATCGCGACTCACTTGGTCGCGGTTCAGCTCGCCGCTCGGTGCGCACACACGCGCGAATCACGGGCGAATCACGGCTCTCTCCCTCTCTCCTCACTCCCCCACCCCTCTGCCGGTGCGAGTGAGCCGACACGTCTCAATGAGCCGAGAGGGTCGGCGCCGGCTGCGCTCCGAGCGGCGTGGGGGCGCCGGCGGCGGCGGCGCGGCGGGCGGTTCGCCGCCCTGTGAGCCCGCGGCGCGCGACGGAGGCGGGCTGTCCGGCGCCGCGTGGCCGTAGCGCCGGCGCAGGAACCGTCTCGGTTTCGCGTGAGCACGCGGCCGCTCGGCAGGCGCACGTAGTAGCGGCGGTGCGGGCCCACTGCTGCGATGACGCCGTGCCGGTCCCATCGTTTGCTGGCCGGGTCCTGGACGGCCACCTGGCTGCCGACTCGCAGGTCGCGCAGGTCGGTGGCGCGCCGGTCGTAGCGCTCCCGTGCGTCTTCTTGTAGTTCGGCGGCGACGGCGTCGGCCTCGTCGGCGGCGCGCTGCCAACAGGGCGCGAACGAGCGCCGATGGGCCGGAATCATGTCGCGCACCGGGTGACCGAACACGATCTGGGCCGGTGACCGGCCTTCCGGTCCCGGTGTGTTTCGGTACTGGAGGGTACCGCGCACCCAGGCGTCTTGGTCCACTGAGGCGGTCCGCTGGTTCCAGACGCGGCGAATCAGTTTGGCCGCATACTTCACACCGGCCTCCGCGCGCCCGTGCGACTGCGGGTAGTGCGGCGACGAGGTGCGGTGCTGCACTCCCCACTCTCGTAGAAATGTAGCGAAGGCGCGCGAGGTGTACTGCGGCCCGCCGTCCGACCACAGCACCTCGGGCACGCCGCAGATGCAGAATATGCCCCGCATCTCGCGAATCAGCTGGGCAGCTGTGGCGGTCGAGCCGAGGGGGCGCACGAACTGCGACCCCGACAGCGGGTCGACGGCGAGCAGGTAGTGGCGGCCGGCGTGCTCGAAAAAGTCCGTGCAGAGGTGCTGGAACGGCCGGCTCGGTGCCTCGCGCGGTCTGTATGTCTCCTGCGGCTGGGAGGGCAGCTCGCGCTGGCACGCCTGGCAGCTCCTCGTGACATTGTCAATGTCGTTGTTGAGGCCCGGCCAGAATACGATCTGACGGGCGCGGCTCTTTGTTTTTTCTTTTCCCTGGTGGCTGGCGTGCAGCTCGGCCAGCACTGCGGCTCGCATCGGCCGGGGAATAACCAGCCGGCAGCCGCACACGACCAGCCCGTCATCAACAGCAAGTCGGCTGTGGACGGGCCAGTAGGGTCGCAGGAGCGGCGGCAGATCGGTCTTCTGTGACGGAAAACCGTCCGTTACTGTCTGTAGGAGCAGCTGCGCCTCCTCGTCTCGGTCGGCCGCCCGGCGGAGCTCGTCCAGTCGGAGGTCGGTGCAGAGCTCGGCGGCCTCACAGAGAGCGATGGCAGAGACAGAGATGGCCGACTCGTCCTCGGCCAGCTCGTCATCTGCGGTAGGCGAGTCGACTGGAGCTCTGGAGAGGGCATCAGCTGCCTGGTGGTCCGCACCACGCTGCCATGTGGCCGTGAAGGTAATCATTGACAGTTTCTGACGCAGGCGCTGGAGACGCAGGTTGTCGATCTCGTCCATGTTTTTAGCGTTCAGAATGGGCACCAGAGGGCGGTGGTCGGTCACGATCTCGAACTCTGGCAGGCCACTGAGGAAGAGGCGGCATTTGTGGCACGCCCACGCGACCGCGAGCAGCTCCAGTTCGATGGTCGCGTAGCGGCTCTCAGCGCCTGTCAGGAACCGAGAGCCGGCTTGTACGACACGCCAGGTGCCGTCCGGCTGGCGCTGCTGGAGCAGAAAGCCGAGCCCCTTCAGCCGGCTCGCGTCGGTCGACAGCAGAGTGGGGCGCGACTGGTCGAAGAAGGCCAGCGTGCGGACGGACGCCAGCGCGGCCCGCGCTCTCTCGAATGACGTCTGGTGGCCGCTGTCCCAGACGAAACTTCGTTTCGTACTCAGCAGGGAGCGCAGCGGTTCCAGGTGCGCCGCCGTGTCTTCAGAGAACGAAGCCACTTGGTTAGCGAGACCGAAGAAGCTGCGCAGCTCTGTCAGCGACGCAGGGGCAGGGAACTCCGCTATCGCTTTTGTGAGGGCCGGATCGGGCGTGTATCCGTCGGCGGCCACGATGAAGCCAGCAAACTTCACACTCTGCCACTGGTGCTGAGTTTTTGCTGGGTTCAGAGCCACACCGCGCTCTCGACAGCGGGTCAGGAACTGCCGGACTCGAGCGGTGTGCTCTTCTTTCGTCTTGCTGTAGACGATGACGTCATCAACCACTCGTTGGATGCCGTCCATGCCGAGGAAACACTCGTCCATCCGTCTGTCATAGTGCTCGCTGATGGATGATATTCCATACGGCGCGCGCAGGTACTGATACCTGCCGAAGGGCGTGATGAAGGTGGTGAGGTGGCGCGACGACTCGTCCAGAGGGCACTGGTGGTAGCCCTTGGCGGCGTCGAACACGCTGAACCACTTGGCCTCCGTCGCCACGATCGACGCGGCACACTCAGCGGACGTGCTGGACTGGTAGAGCTCCCGTCTCACGGACTGGTTGAGCTTGGAGAGGTCCACACACAGGCGAATGCCGCCGTCTTTCTTCGGTGCGACGACGATGGGAGCGCACCAGTCGGTCGGGGTCGTCACCGGTGCGATGATTCCGTCCTGCTCGAGTCGGCTGAGCTCTTGACGGAGCGGTTCGCGCATTGACAGCGGAATGCGCCGCGGCGCCCTCACTGCGAAAGGGGTGGCGCCGTCTCGGAGGTGGATTTTAAACGTCTCTCCGGGCATGACTCGGACGACTCCGTCCAGCACGTCAGCGAACTCTTCCAGTAGCGGCTCACCGCTCTCCGTGCGGGCCGTGCTGAGCGCCGACGGCTGACTGTGCACGGCCGGCCCGTGCGTAGGGGCGCCGGCAGGCACTGGCTGCGCACTGACCGCGCACTGGCCGCACACTGGTGCCGGCGGCGCCGGTTCTCTCTGGTCGGGCGCCGCTGCTGTCGTGCACGACGGCGCGCCGGCCCCCAGGCCGGGCGCGGGCGGCGCCGGCCGCGCGCTGCGCGGTGGTGCTGACGGCTGGGGCGCCGCCGCTGTCGGTCGCGGCGGCACTGCGGGCGGAGAGGCCCGCGGGTCGCTCACGGGTGGCACTGGCCGCAGGCTGCGCGGTGGTGCACCCTGGAGGGGCGCCGGCGCCGCCGGTCTCGGCGGCACTGCGGGTGGAGAGCCCCCCGGGCCGGGCGCGGGCGGCGCCGGCCGCGCGCTGAGTGGCGCCGGCCGCCCGCTGCGCGGCGGTACGGACTGGTGGGGCGCCGCCGCCGCCGTACTCGGCGGCGCGGCTGGCGGTGAGGTCCCCGGGCCGGGCGGTGGACAGGCGCCGGTGCGGCGCACGGCCGGAGCCTCCACCGGCAGCTGCCGCGGGTAGAGCTCGGGCACGATCCTCAGCGCCCTGGTGGTGCGCCAGGAGAGGAGAAGCCCGCGGCACCCCTGGACGATCAGCATCTCGTCGTTCACTTCCACGGTGCCGAACTTGATCGCAACCTTCAAAGTTCCGAGACACTTTGACTGGCGGCCGTTTGCCAGCCGGGGCTGCGCGGTGGCGGGTCCCAAATTCTCGAGGAATTCACCCACCATCGCCGGAAAGTTCGTGCCGGCCACCGTCACGTCCGCGCCGGTGTCGGGGAGGGCTTCCATGGAGGCCGACGACCAGGCGCGGACCTGCACCCGAACGCGCGGTGCAGACGGCGCGGTGGCGGAGGCCACCATCACAGCAGGGGCCATCTTGTCGTTGTGACCTGGTGCCTGTGACTTGCACATGACCGCAAAATGTCCAAGCGAGCCGCATGTGTGACACTGGCGGCCGCGCGCGGGGCACTCATTTTCGCGCCGATGGACTCGCCCACATTTTGTGCAAGGGGAGGTCACATGGCGGCCGCCATCTTGAGGCCGACCAGCTGGCTGGCCACCACGGCGGCCATCTTGGCGGGCCCCGCCGGCGCCATCTTGGCGCCGCCCGCGCCGGGCTCCTGACGGGGCGCGGCACGCGGCCACGTCCACTCCCACGAGGTCGGCGACGTCCCGTGATGCGGCTTCCTCGGCCCGGCACACTCTCATGGCCTCCGCCAGGCCAAGGATCGGAATGGCACACAATTTACGCACAGTCTCTGGGTCGCGGAGGCCGACGACCACGCGGTCGCGCAGCAGGGACTCACCGCAGTCGTCGCAAAACCCGCACGAGCGGCTGAGGTCACGCAAGGCCGTCAAAAAATCGTCGAACGACTCTCCCTCGTGCTGACACCGCAGGTGAAAAGCTCGCCGCTGCAGTACTGGGTTGACTTGACCCACGGCGTAGGCCTCCAAGTGGCTCAGGACCACGGCGAGGTTAGTGCGGTCGGAGGCGGAGAGCGCAAAGTTCGCAACCACTTTTACCGCCTCATCTGACAAGCACGAGCGGAGCACGGCCATCTGAACCGCCGGCTGCTGGGTAGCGAGGCCCGACAGCAATGCGAAGCCATCCCATCGGGCCCGCCATGCACGAAACGATTCACCGCGATCGGTCGTCAGATCGAGCCGCGGCGGCGCGAGTCTCGGTAGCATCGCGGCCATAGGAGACGCACTAGGATTAGTGGTGGGCTGCGCCATGTTCGGGTCTCGGCCAGACCCCTGGTCGGTCATGGCCGGACCTGTACTGCACTCGACACGCGCGGCACCGGTACACATGCACACGCGTCCGTAGGTCGGAGCAGACTGTTTATTGGCATCCGGCCAACGGCTCAGAGCACGGGCCCCCGGCGGGACTGGTGCTGCCCTCTCTGTATTGCGTGGGAACTACAACTGCGACCGCTAAGGTATATGCGGCAGCCCCGCACAACTGCTCTCTTGAAACTGCCCGGATCGAGGTCTAAAAAAGTAAAAAAAAAAGTGCTTAGTGTTCATCCAAACCTGACATCCAATCCAAACATAGTACATTCATGTATTCATCCAATAGCGAAAGTATCTAGGCGCAATTCGAACTCGAAGCGTGTTTCAACCCAATATGTATTCATCCATGTATTCATTCCATGTATTTTGCCGGTCCCGTAGCTCAGTTGGTAGAGCGTTGGACTCCGCGTGGTGAGAGCACGCGTTCCCGGTTACAACAGTCCGGGTTCGAAGCGCGACGGGCGCTTGACATTTATGGGCCTCCTGACAGGTATGGTTGCGGTTGGTGGCAGGCCGTAGCCAGGTGAAGTCAGTGAGGGGATCGGCCGTGCGCGGCTATGTGCGCACGTTAAACTTTGGACTCTAAATTCTGCCATAGAACTGGAATTGCGCGATCGGAGGGTAGAGGGCAGGGTCACCGCAACAAGCTTTGCTTAGCGGTGGCTCTGTCCTTGTGAATCCTTCCCATCAAAAGGTTCGGACTAAATTTATGAAAAAATCATGTATTCATCCATCCAAACGTGTATTTATCCAAACCTGGAACGAACGGCATCAGCATCAGGCTCGGCATATTCATCTGGCACTAATGGTGAAGCATCTTAGGCTCGAACTACAGAACAATCAAGCATGACCACCAGAATCTGACACGAACGGTAAAGTATAGACCCGACACCAGAAGCTGGTATGAACGGCACCATTAGGCATTATGAACTGTAAACGGTACCGGCATCAGGCACGAGCGGTTCCAGAATATTGCGCGATGGTACATCAGGAACGAACGGCACGATAATCTGGCACGAACGACATAGAATCGAGCGTGAACACCAGAATCTGACACAAACGGTAAAACATAAGGCACAATCACGGGAAGGCGACGGCGCAGGGCAGTTGGGAGGCAGCCAGCAGCGTCCGGTAGGAGCCGGGCCGGTCGGCAAGAGCGCCGTCGAGCCGCGGGCCGGCGCAGCCCGCCAGCACCGCCTGCAGCTCGCCGCGCTAGGTCACCGGCGGGCTCAGTGTGGACATGTGCTCTATGCAGTGTCACGAGCAGCGGCACGTCAACGGCAATGTGCCATTACGGTGCACAACGGCTTCATAATGTTCATAATGTCCATGACTCTTAATGCTGCAGTAGCGGACTGTGGCACGTTACGTCGTTCAAGCGTTCGGCGTCGCTCGCAAAGTTGCCGCTGGCCGTTCGTCGGGCAGCTGCAGCGCCTCTGGTAGCACTGGCCATCGCCGAACTCGGTCCCCAGTTCGCAGCCCAGGGCCCGTTTGTCTCCGAGGCAATGCAGAGGTACGGTAGACCGGAAAGTGTCACCACACAATGGGAAGGCGCACGCACACCTCGCAAGGAACACTGGAGCAGCAGCGCATGGCACGTCACCTCGTTGAAACGCTCGTGGGTCGCGCGCTGGATCGGATACCAGCACTAGCGCTGTACATACGTCAGGCCGCTCCAGCACGCAGTTCACTCCCGAGGACAGGCGCCGCCGAGCTGATGTTAGGCACGCTGTGGAGTCGGACGGAGTCATGGGCCTATGTAAACCACATACCATACATATCGAGTCTACTACGAGCTTTCAAAGCGTGAATGAGATTGGCAGCTAAGCGACGGTAAGCGTTTCTTTCGTCTGATGACCTACCTTTCTTACTTTACTTCATTGGACGCTCATTTGTGGCATTTTCCACAGGCAAGGCATCAAATATGTGCAGGGGAACGGCTATGCATGAAAACATGCCAAAGGAGTTGACAAATGACAGGAGGGCAGCGATCAACGGAGGTCCCCAATATGTAGAAGGGTTGCGATCGACAGTAGAGTACCAGCAATGCTTGAAAGGGCGGCCATCATCAGGAGAGCGCCAAATAGGTAGGAGGGCTCCCGATCAACATTCTACACAAGGGCACCAATAGGTAAGCTAGGGTGGCGAGCAGCAGGAAGGCGCCAGCGGGAAAAGGGCTGCGATTAACAGGAAAGCACCAATAGTTAGAGGGCGCTTTTGCCCAAGACGGCCACGTTGATTAGGAGGACGCCTGTGAGGAGTGCGCCGATCATCAGGAGGGCGCCAGTGGGTAGAAAGGCGGTGATCAACAAGCAAGCGTCAATAGGTCGAAGGGCCCCGACCAACATGCGCCTCTCCGGTAGCTCTGTTGGTGCCGCTCCCGGTCGGTGCCCCCCGGCGAAGAACGTGTGCGGAGGTCACAGTCGATGCCAAGGCGGGGAGGCGGCGTTTCCACCGGCACGTACTGTCGGAGGGTGCGGCGGTTGCTGAGACTAACTCGGCCCGACCCATCGACAGGTACGACATATTGGTCGAACTGTTTGATTTCGACGACCACTCCAGTTTTATCCCACTTGGTGGGGAAAGGGCCGACTTGATTCTGTATAGTCGGACCCTGTCACCCACTTGAATGGGATGAAAGCGTCGCGTGTATTCTGACCATCGTTCCGCGTCCTTCTGGTGTTTGTTGCGGAGAGCTTCTTCACGAGACATCAGCGTGCTGCGCATCACTGTAAACGAAATCTACAAGTTGCTGGTTTGTTTACAAGTTTGGTGCCATTTCGCATAGGCGTCACCTTGCAGGCCACTAGATAAAGGATAATTGATCTACTAGTCTTTTGAAAAAGTGAGCCAGTCTTTGGTTGAAAAGTCAATCAAAGGCTGGTTAACAAGTTTGGTGCCTGTTCGTGTGCTTCGTGGTCGTTCACTCTGATCCAGCACGGCAGACCAAAGTGTTCGTGTAATCGTCAAGTTCACTCAGAATTGCGTATCTGATCGTATCGTTTCATTAACCGGAAGACCATAAAGTTTTGGTCATATTTGTAAAGGTCTATTCTTTGTTGATAGCGAAACGGGTAAAAGACGGCGGTCACAGATGCAGTTCGATTCGTCGTCTCGTCAGGCCGCGTCGGCCACGTCGTGCACCGGGCCGTCGCGCACCGGTGGAGTCAGACTCGTAATCGTCAGGCCGCGTCGGCCACGTCATATACACCGGCGCCGTGTCGCACCGGCGGAGCCACGTTCGAGACTGTCGGGCCCCGTCCCGTCTCTAGACGTCGTGGTAGCACAACACGTGGGCATGAGAACCAGTACAGGGGCCGGATGACACATATGTGCGCGGCGCGGCGGACCGACCGCCGCGCTCCGAGCGCCGGCCGTCTTCGACAAGATATCCAAAAAAGCGTGTTTGCTCGCTAACAGTGCTATTTTTTTGGACTCCACGACTCCACCCAGCGGTCTCTGGCATCTGCCGAACCGAGAACGGCGTCCAGTGCTACCCTCGCGCTACGGCGGTCGCCCACAGCCTCCTCCAGCTCAGGGTCCATGACCCAGGGCTTGGGATCAGACCTGGCCCCACGGGAGACATGCAGTACGCTGCACTTCAGCAGCGCAGCACTGAAGAGCTCGTTGAGTCGCTCTATCGTGACGTCCTCCGGGAGCCCCGCGAGTGTTGTCTCGCAGTCGTCCTCGAAGCCAGTCTAGTTTGCCTTGTGGAACGCCCAGCGCGTCTTCCGTATCCGTCTCGGACGATGCCCGCTCATCGTGACGGAAGTGACCAGGTGGTCGCTGCCGATGTCCGCGCCCACCGCCCACGTGCAGCGGCGGGCCAGGTCACGATGGCAGAAGACGGCGTCTGGCATAGGCGTAGGAACAGGGGGGGGGGGCCGGGGGGGCCATGGCCCCCCCACTTTTTAGCCATTTTTTAAAGTAAAATCTTTATTTTTTATTTAAATACAAAACTAAGAGCAAGAAATGATTCAGCAAGGTGAGATGAGCACAAAACTGCAAAGAATTTCTTCATAGGGGTATTGGGGCTCCCACAAAGTGACATTGAAGTTTCGCTGGCCCCCCCACTTTTC